AGGGCTCCCCGACTGGGCGGCGGGGCGATGTCGCTGCCTGAGTTTCTCTCCACGGTCTCACCCGGGTCTTCAGGTTCCCCGGTGCCCCCAAGGCCGTGACCTGTCCCCTGTGGTGCCACTGCCTGTGCGGAGCGGGGGTACCGCTGCGGGACGGGTTACGAGCGGGTTTCGCTGGTGGAGCTCAGCGGCTGTGGGCGGGGGGGCGAGGAGAACGAGAACGGTAAGGAGGTTGCCTTGGTGTTGGTTCCCCCCAGCCCCAGTAATAGATTACGCCGGGGAAGTTCGTGTGGCCATGACTGCTCCCCGAGGGCCGGGGTGGCTGGGGATGGTGGTGGCGGCCGCCGGCGAGCGTTGTGCCTCATTTGCTGCTTTGGGAGCCCTTCAGTGCGTGGCCTCTGGAAGCTACGACTGGCCCCTGCCTCCGTCCTTGAAGTTTACCTGGGAGCTGTGCTTAAGTGCGCCTTGGGGATGCTTGCTCTGAGAGGGTGCGGGACATCCCCCTTAGCTCCCGAGGCTCCCCAGTTGGAAACTCTGGTCCCTCGCTGAGTGGCTCTGTTACATATTTTCCTTCTCCTGCCTGTCTTCGGTTGAAAATAAAAGGCAAAAAGTCCCTTGTCATTTTTCTGTTTGCACATCTGCTTTCTCTTTGTCACTCATTGTGTTGTTACATGCACGCCTGTATTCATCATTTTTCTCCCTGCTTGCAGCTAGGCTGTGAAGATGTGGGGTTTTCAACCACTGTTTCATGTTGGAGGGGTATATATGTTGTGTTGTTTTTGGTTTTTTTTTTTCACAGGGAGGATGTATAAATTCTGTGGTGGCCTACTGAAATCAGCAAAGGCAGGGAAGGGGCTCATGCTTCCTGTTTGGTTGTGGAAATTGACTGAGGGGAGAGATTTCAACAGCAGTTTTTTGTACTTTGGTATAATCCTAGAATCATAGAATAGGTTGAGCTGGAAGGGACCATGGAGGTCATCCAGTCCAACACCCCCGCAGTAAGTGCGTCTTCCACTATAACAGGTTGCCCAGAGCCCCATCCAACCTGACCTTGAATGTTTCCAGGGACAGGGCATCTACCATCTCCTTTGGCAACCTGTTCCAGTGTCTGGTCTCATCAGGGCGGACTAGAGGGGCAAAATCACCTGCTGACCACATTTTTTTTTGATGCAACCCAGGATACGGTTGGCTTTCTGGGCTGCAGGCGCACATTACTGGTTCATGTCCAACTTCTCATCCACCAAAGACACCCAGGTCTTTCTCTGCAGGGTTGCTCTCAATCTCTTCATCCCCCAGCCTGTATTGATACTGGGGGTTGCCCCAACCCATGTGGAGGACCTTGCATTTGGCTTTGTTGAACCTCATGAGGTTTTCACAAGCCCACTTCTCCAGCTTGTCAAGATCCCTCTGGATGGCATCCCATCCGTCCGGGGTGTTAACCTCACCACTCGGCTTGGTGTCATGATCATGATTAAGGCAATCCGTTGCCTTAATTTGAGGAGGCAGCATGAGGAGGTTGTAAGTGCCTGTATGGGCCTGAAGGAAGCTGGGGTAGTTATAACCTACTTAGTCCCTCCATCATCCCTGCGGTCCCCAGAGTTAAAAGCAGAAAGTTTATCCCTCTTCCCTGGCCCTTGCCCAGGCAGGGCAGTGCAGGAGCGGTGCACAGGCAGCTGAGTGCCAGCTGGACATGGCTGGGCAGCAATGGCCCCAGCACCTTCTGGGACCAGGGGGTAGCCTCACCTGTATTTGTGTGTGATTAATGATGCAATGTTTGCTTCCTGTGGTAATTAAGATTTTCACAACTTGCTGGTAACTTTCCTTCTTGTTCGGCTTGGGTGTAAGCCCTGTTTCTGCCACGATGCTGTGGTATCTGCATACTTATATATAGAAATTTACAATTTTGGGGTTATAAGTACACAAAAATACATGTGGAAATGAATGTATGAGGGAGAATCAGCACTAAAGATACCCATGTTTCTTAATATGTACTCCTTCCTGTCAGATTAGAGGTAGCTGCTAAAATGATGCAGAAATTAGTCACTGGGTAGAATCCCTGTATATTTGCAAAAAAGGCCCCCTCCAGCTTATGGTACATTGATTGACATGATATAAAATGTACTAAAATGAACTGATGATTTAATATTAAATAAAAGGAAATTAGAGTATTTAGTAATAAATATGCATGGTTTTAAGAACACTTTACAATAAAACTGTGATGTACTTCTGACAGATCATATAGTGATACCTCCACCTCTTTAGTATTAGTGGGACTTTTTGTGCAGTATGGTACTACTCGCTTTGGCCAAGGATATTGGAATATAGTTTATTTTCACAGACTGTCATCCCATCCATTACTGTGTGAAGCAGCAAAAAAAACCCGTAAGTGTACTGCTAGTATCTGCTATCACTATTAAAGTTACACTTGCCTTTCTCCTGAAGGAAGAGCTCATCTGGTTTGGTTATTTTTCACTTGCCACATGGGAAAGCAAAGTCAGTTTTCCATGGGATGTTTTACTTCCAGAAGTACCAGTAATGCAGAACAATGGATGTGCAAGGTGGCCCATTTTATGGTTACTAGTGACACTGCAGGTAAATCCCAGACTTTCCAAAATGGACTATGTGCAATTCCAAAGTATATGATAAACCTTGAATCAGCTGTGTTCTCACACCAGAGTTTACTAGGACAATAGTTGCAAAAGCATGCCCTTCTTTAACTGGACAGTAATATCTCTTTAAAGGTTAAGCAAGCTATGAAACACATATTATGTGGAATGCAATGTTTCTTAAACAGTGTTATCTTCTGCTGATATTGAATATGCTTAAAGACACATATGTTTAATAGACTGTCATCAGGAGAAGAGATAGTCTTATATTGGTCTGATTGGACACCAAGGCAAGGTAATTCAGAGTGAAGGTTGACGCTGTCAGCCACAAGTTACTGTTACACTATGGCAGCTGTTTCATTTACATCAGAGAGGATTTGCAGTGATTCTAGAAGATACAGAGTAGCCTGTAATAACAATAAAGATTTTTTTCTCAAGTAAATTAACCTTTTTGTGTTAGTTTATTTAATATTACTTTAAGTGAAAATTAAATAAAACAATAAAAGGGAGAGGAACATGTAAGTGAATGCCTTTGTGTTGATAGTAGAACCTTAACACAAAGTGCCTAGTACTACCTTTTAGTTCATGAGAGCATAATTTAACATTGTTTTATGTTACATTATGTTACATAGAATCATAGAATATTTTGAGTTGGAAGGGACCATGGAGGTCATCTAGTTCAACCCCACTGCAATAAGTGCATCTTCCACTAGATCAGGCTGCCTAGAGCCCCATCCAAACCGACCTTGAGTGTTTCCAGGATGGTGCATCTACCACCTCCCTGGGCAACCTGTTCCAGTGTTTCACCACCCTAAATGCAGAGTACTTCTTCCTAATATCTAGTCTAAACCTCTCCTCTTTTACTTTAAAACCATTACCCCTGTTGCTACAGGCCCTATTAAATGTTAACGTTTTATGTTATGTACATTCTATGTAGATGACAGCAGATGTAAATTGTGAATATGGAAGACAACCACGTTGCAAATACTACAGTGCTTTAGGTGTTGGCAACATATTTTATTGCTAAGTTTTGTCACCAGTGTCACTGTTAAAGTGTCTACTGGATAACTCTAACCCAGCATAAACTGGAGGCATCTCTGAAGTACTTTTAGACTGAGTACTTTGCCTGTAGATATTTTGGTAATTTTCCTTTAGAAGCATGCCCTCTATGCATCTAGAAAATAAAGGCGGGAAAATATATGCAATAAATATATTTACAACCATTATGGAAGATTTTTAGATAATAAAAAAATTTTAAAATAGCAAAAAATATTAATTACATTCTGGCTATTGAATTTAGGGACTTCTGCAGTATCCTCCCATGCCCTGAAGTTAACATGATTTGGATAATTTGCATACAGATCTTATGCCTACACGATTGCTTAAAGTTGTAGGTTTTTCAGTAGGTGGCAGTCTTGCCTACGAGTCAGTTCAATGTCAGTGCCTTAGCGTGTTGGTAAAGACGGATGAGGGAGGGAGAGTGTTGCTAATAATGCAGGGTTGTTTTTGATTAAGTGTACAATACTGGTTTATTAGTTATAGGGGCTTTTGCAATCATAGCATGCTTTGCAAATGACTACATATTACCAGTTTTGTTAATTTAGCTTAATTAGTGTCCATTGCAGGTTAGATTAAGTTTAGTCTGCTATGTAATTTATCAGATATTAATAATTTATATGTATTTATACATCAGTAACGTTGCTGTAGCTCTTACTAAGGGCTAGGATCCAATTGCTTTAGGAATTTACAGCCACAGGGAAACAAGGGTCAGTGATTCTCTAGAAAAGCTTACAGTCTCACATCTTTCCTGTTTTGTTGATTGAATGGTTGATGATCAAAAGTACTGTTTTCAAGCTAAGTGACGTTACCGTTATTGGCAGTATTTCAGAGCACACTTATTTAACAGATAAAGAGATTGCTGTGTATTACTATTGTATATACTCCTGAGAGACAAGTCATTCTACATACTAGAATGTTATATCCAACAGCTTTGATATATTTATGATTAACACCTATGTTTGGATGTTGCTCTGACACCTAAATGGAAACAGTGTGGAAGATAATGGAAGCATATAGAGGTAAAAACAGATTTTAGACCTCACACCTTAAGTTGTGCTTGCAGTGTTTTGGCTTCTCGGTCACCTTTGTGTGACCCTGTTGGCTAATGTCATTCCAGCTGGTAACATGATACCTCATCAGATGTTCAGTGGTCATCACGCATAGCTTACTATATTTTTTGTTGTTGTTTTTTGAAGTTACTTTACCAGAATTTATGAATATGATAAGATTGATGAAGAGGATAAGACAACTGAGGTTGTTTGGACATGTGCATACAAAATTTTCAGGAAACCTTGAGCAAATTTGTTGTTTCGTATGCCATTAAACTCCAGAATTCCATGTGTGAAAGTCTTTCAATAATAATAGGAGGCAAAGGGAGTCTATTAAGCCATTATTGTAGAACATGAGCCATTGCAGGGGGAAGGCTTCAAAGTTAACAATTCTTAGTTTAGTGCTGGAAATTTGGAATGTAGAAGTGCAGAATCTGCTTCACAAACATTGAAATTTGGTCCAGGTTCACAATTTGGAGTTTATTGTAACTTTTGTGATGTTCGTTTCACTACAAATATAAGCATATTTAAGCTCTTAAACTGCATGTTCAAGTATTAGATATAGGTGTTCCATAGATTTGTCACAGGTACAGTTTATTTGCTTTGGCAAGCAAAGAGATAATTGCTTTTTTTGTTGTGAATACAAGCAAATACCACTGGTGCTTGTGATGTAAGTTACTTAAAACTAGTGTTAGCCTTGATGTAATTGTGTCTTTTCTATATTGCATTGCAGAGATGGTGAACTAAGTTTGAGTAGATCAGTGATCAATAGCTCTGATAAGATAATTCGAAAAGGTGGCTCCTCAATCTTCCAGCATGCTGTGGAAGGCTGGAAAATCAATGCTTCTTTGGTACTGGAAATAAGGTGAGTGTCTTAAATAAAAAATAGTTCATTTGATATTACCTAAAATTCTTTTCATTTCATATTGCCTTTAATTCTTTTGGTGTCAAAAATACTAATTTTATTTATGGCTGCAGGCAGATGTTTTCTAACTACATGTTTAGGGTTCAATGTTAAATGCAACCAAATTACTTTGGACTCAAGTCATCCTTCATAAGAATAAATAAAACGTTTTCATCTGAGTGTGTCAATCAGACCTGTGCAGTCAGTATGTATATTATGCATGTCCACATTTGAGTTGGTTGTCAAGAACTTTCTTGCAGTCGTTGATGAGAAATAGGCACATTTAGGACATGATTTCCTCTCAGCCTAAAGGTCTGAAATAGAACAGATGGAAGTACCCTGAACACACCAGTTTTTCTCCCTTAACCACAAAGGGAGCCTAGGCAAACAACTTAGATGTAGGAGTTAGGTGCAGAGAATCCAGCCCTCCCTGTCACTGGTCCAAGTCACAAGGTCAGATGTTGACAATACTCATGTCTTATGCAATTTTCTTCCCTAAAGTCAGAGAAGCCAAAAAGAGCCTTAGGCTCATGCTGAGGGGGGAAGCACAGTAGCAGAGATGAAGTGTCTTAGTAGTTACAGTGGGTCTCCTCACTTTGGGGCCTGGGAAAAGAGAAAGCAGAAGCCTCTTAGTGTGTTGTATTGTCACTGTATTTTCCCTGTCTTAATCAGGAAGGTGTCCAGTGGGAGAAGTGTGTGGAACATGGGTTGGCAGTTTGGAGAGCTAGGAGTGTCACATTCTGTGAAAAATGATAGAAAATACTATTTTTAGCAGCAAGACAGCAAGTTCTTTTACTAGCAGAGTAGCAGAGTAGACTTGATTTTTCTGAATATTAAGATGCTGGATAGAAATTTGATCAAATTAAAATATGGTTTCTAAGTAATTTCCCTTTCTAGTTTTTTTTTTTTTTTTTAATTAGAAGACAGCTTACAAAACCCTTAAACCGTCGATGTTTCAATGTCAAGAATCCTGTTTTCTCCAAATGAGGAACTTAGTGTGGGTTTTTTTTGTTTTGTTTTGTTTTTTTTTAATGACTGCTATTTTATATCCCTAATTCTAAAACATGCAGAAGATACAGGTAGCTCAGAAATGTACAAAGCTGTAGTAAAAGGTTGGTATTCTGGAAATCTTGTGCTATGATGGACATAGCACAGCCCCACTGCAAAAGCCAAGGAACAGTGGCAGGGATGGAGGGAGTGGCAGGATTTGAGTAGGCAGCAAATTAATGCTCTGGAGCCTGTAGCTGTGTCTCTAGCTGCCTGGCAAGTGCTCTGTGGAGTCTCTGCTCCCTGACTGCCTAGACTGAGGGACCCTCAGGCACTTGGCTGCTCACCAGGCAGCCAAAACCTGGGTTTCCTACTGGTAAAGACCTGGTGGTCACCCTAAAATGCAGCTCAGAATGGAGTTTCTTCCAGGACTGTCTGTTCAGATGTAGCCCATTTGAGCAGTGTGTGGTTGTTCCATAAAGGCTAAGTTCTGCTCCAAGGCAGTCTAAGAAAGATAAGCAGATTTTCTATATCAGTAAAAGTATTTAAAATTTATATGCATATAACTGACAGTTTAAGTTGGAGAAATGTTGAGTAACTTCAGAAGAATAATGTTGAAATTTTAAATCATAGGTTATCGTTCTGTCAATTAGGATAAAATAGCACACTTTTACTTGTGAAGTAAACTGATTTGGAAACCATTGAGTGACTAGAGACAGACAACATTTTTCAGTCATTTTGTTGATGAATTAAGTGGCATTTTTCAGAATAAATTTAAACCAATGCATCTTGCTGCTCAAGCCAAACAAAAAACAAGTAAAAATATTACAATAACATTTAAATTAAAATTAAGAGAGAAAATGAGCTTGGGGAATGCTCATTTTTCACCTGTTTAAAAGCAAAATATATCAGACAAAGAGGTAAAACAGTAGGGAATGCTTTAGATTTTTTTAAGCCTGTTACTGCATGGTGTATCATCTCTAAAATAATGAATTTCAAAATACCGTTTTTCCTTACTGTCGCCTGGGGACAGGGAAGTTCTCTCATTTTACAAATTACTAATGTGCCTTTAAGAAGCATCTTGATTTGATTATATGATGTTTTTTAAAAATTGTACAGTGAAGGATGTTTTTTTGGTCTCAGTAGTACTGTTAAAAAACCATGTATCTTGTACACAGATTTAAGCAGTAAGGGTTCCACTTTATCATCATGAAGATTTTCTGTACAGTAGAGAGCATAAAGCTGGAATATCCGCATTGCTAGTCTTGTTTTGAGATGAAATAGCTAGCACGGCACAGAGAACAGGTGTCTGTCTAAAAGATTGTAGATTAATGTGACTTATGGTCAAAATTTAACATAAACTATCTGAAAGGTATCATGCTACCAGCCAGTTGTATTCTTTCCAGAAATTCTCTTTGCTAACGTGCATAGTTTATTCAGTTATGGTACTCAGCAGTGAGGGAGGGAAGTTCGACATGCATTTCCCTAAGGAAGCCACATGTGACTGCTTGTGATGTGTGTTCCACTCTGAAGCTGACTGAACAATGTGCATTCTTCTTTCACTTTTACAGGTGTTCTGCTATACACCTTTCTTCCCTTTCACAGCAGTAAGAAGCATCTTAGCCATAAATATTTTTACACTTACGGACCAATCAGGACTAGCTTCAAATGTGTCTAACAGTCTCCTAGAATGTTCTTATGGTTAAACTAACTGTTCAGCCCTCCAAAGTACATTACATGTACTGTGTAGACCATGAAGATGATTCATACTCTATTATTGCAACTGTTAATCTGAAGAGTCACGGTCTTGTGGTGTGAGGTTGAGCGTAGCAAATAACAGTAAGAGAGAAACAAACAAAGAAACAAAAGCTAGTGCCTGTTGAATGATGTATAACGATTCTGTCAATTCTTAACCAGTGGTGAAATAATTTGTGAAACCATTAGCTTACAGCATAAAGACCTTTAGTAAAACTTACAATCAGCAATAAATTGCAGTTACTTTTGTGTCTTGTGCAGCTTGACACCCACATTAGTAATTTTAAAACAAAGAATATTTGATAGTGAATTTTGCTTTGTGCAAACACTGTTCATCAATGGTATGTTTTGACCTAGTTAGCTGGCAACTGGAATATTATGCTTTGCTATTTGCTTTGTTGACCATGGACATCATCTCTGACCATCTTATTTTGCTCAGTCTATCAGCCTCAAAGGTCCTATAAATTCTTGGCAAGGCCAGGCTCAGATAGGAGTCAATGAGTGAAAAAGCTCCTTTATCAGGATCCCGTGGGAGGATGAAAAGTTTCCACTGGGCTTCTGATGTCACAAGACGCTCTACGCAAGCTTGCAGACAGAAGAGGCTGTCTAGGGACCATAGCAGCTCTTTTGGGAGGGCAGCAGCCCTTTGGGAGATGTTAAGCAGGCATTAGAAGAAAGAGCTAGACTTTCTGTGATTGAGGTGGAAATTATGGGTACTATTAATTACTTGAGACTAGCAAATTTGCTGCCTTGCCAATCATGATTGGTCTAGTGGGAGAGTGATTTTTCCAACTGATGTTACCTTCTGATTTCTGACAACATCTTTGAAGAGTAATTGGTAATTCCTGTGCCTAAGGGAAGAAGACTGCTTGCTTGGCTCCCCTTCTGTCTGAATGATTTTAGTCATGAAGAAAAGAGTGAATCCATCGTCTAGATGATTTTGTGTCTTTAGTCCTTTCTACTCTCTGTAGCAATGTGAAGGGTTTCCAGTTAGGGAGATTAGGAAATTTCAGTTGTATTGAAGGCCATACTTTTGGAAAGGAGAGATGTGGCTGAGATGGTACAAGCCTCTCAAGGGAAGCCATCCACACAGGACTGATGCCAGCACATCTGTGATCTGTGTGAAATGAATTACAGTCTGATGTCTCAGAGTGTGAATTTCTTCTTCCACTTATTTTTGATTAAATGTGTGTGTTTGTGTTGGAAGGAGCAGATGAAGGTTTTGAATTGCAGGAAGGCAAAATGGGAAAAAAAAGTGTGTTGAGAAGGTATTTATCTCTTCGCAAAGTAACAGAGAAATCTATGAGTGGCAGTTCCCTGTCAGAAAAGTGTGAAAACTTTTAAGATGTTAACAGCTTCATTAGAAAAAAACAGTTCAACTTCCTCCTTAGAGAGGTTCAGATTATTATAATTATTTATCTTTCAAGTTAATATGAAATAGCTATGGTAAGTCCCTGAGGTGCAAGCGATAAATACTGAACTGGCAATGGAGCAGTACAATTGCTCTGAAGCTTTTGGAGCAACTTTTTGGGGCCAGCTGCACTGTTTTCTTCAGATCTTCTGTCTCTAAGACATGCAACTAGTCTGGTTTAGTTATAATAAGCCTTAAGGGTTTTTTGCCTCCTTAGACCCTTGCTTCAACTGAAAAGTCAGTGTTCACTGTCAGTTGGGGTGATTGACTCCTTTGACTCTCTTCTTTTGACTCTAACTTGCTTAACTTCATGAAAAGCTAACATATGGCTGGCCTTCATATGGTAAGCAGCAGTTGGGTCACACCCTGTTAAACAAAGCCCTCTTTTCCTTTTGCATGCCCACTGAAGATTTGTGCCCAGTTAGTATGTGCTTCAGCTACTGAAGTGACCTTTGTGGTCAAGGGGAGAGCAGGGTGCCCTGAAGGGCATGAGAAGGGCTAGAATGGGGACAGAGCCAGACAACAACTTCCTGTAATAAGGCATTTCTGTTTGTGTGGTCCTTCATGGGCTGGGGAATGCCAGGAACCTTTCCATGGTTGGTTGCAGTTAGGCATGTTTTTAACAAATCCAAATCAGGGGTTCGACTAGGTGAACTTTAAAGTCCCCTTCCAAACCAAACTGTGCTATGATTCTATGATTCTAAATGCTGCTTTCCTTGAAAAGCTTTTCTTAAAAGTCCCTTTCAGTTAAACTAAAGACAAATCCAACACAGGTTCAAACACTCACAGTCCCTACTGCCCCCTCAGGAGGCCAGCAGGAGTTGTAGTTGCAGCCATCTATATGGGCAGTCTGTGACCTTGTGTTACCACACAGTTTGTTCTTGTTTGTTTTGTTTTTTAATTAAACTAATTCATCAGGCAAAAAAGTACTTAGGTTGTAGCCCTTGGTGATTTCAAAAGCTGAGAATTGCCTTCTGCCTTCCAACTGGGGAGGGCAAAGCAGCATCAGGACTTGCTAAGATTAGAAGATAAAGTTGTTTAAAGACCCATGTGAATCAGCCAGGGGAAGTCTGCAGGAGGGCAACAATGGATGTCAGAGATTCACAACACATGATCAGTCCAATTAAAAAAATAAAAGTTTAAAAAGAAGTTGGATGGCTTCTTAGCCTCAAGTAAATAAAGGCTATTGCCAAGAGTAATGAAAGTCAGTCCTCCACAGGCAAGGTATAAGGAACAGCAACAGGCTTCAGTTGCTGTGGGAAAGATCCAGGATAGCAAGAAGAATATTGTGCTGCTGGTAAGGCTAGGGAAGCACTGATGTAGACTGCATGGGGAGTTTGCTGAGTCCCCACTATGGGAGGCTGTGAGGATTATATTAGATAAACACAGCCTGGGGATGTTGCAGATAAAGGCTAATCTTCAATGGTGGTGTTTCTATAATGTGGTTGCTGGTGAGCTAGCCCAGCTTCGTGGGTACTGAGGATGTACTTCAGGGGCTTCCCCTCAGGGCTGGGGTCCAGACAAGTCCAGATGCCCCAGCAGTGAGGATTTCTGTCACTGCCTTGCTTGAAAGGAATGATTTGCCCAGGAAGAGTGTTGGAGGCCATATTTCAGTGCTGTTGACATTGTCTAAAAATATATATTTATTTGCAATCTTAAAAGTCAAATGTTTAAGTTATTTATTTGCTTTCCGTAATCCACACAATTCTGAGGCAGATGAGGGAGAGTTTGCCATTATATGATAGTTGTGTAATACAATGACTACAGTACAAAATAAAGCCAGAAAATGCACGTAAGTAGGAAAATGTTACCATGTTGCCCCAGAGCAATACTTATTTATATAACTTGGAAAGCTGTTCAGAGACAATGCTGTCTGTTACATGTACTTTATCAGATAAGCAGGAGTTGTAGTAGGTATTTAAATATTATGAACATCTGTTTCTGGTTATCAAAGAGAAACCCTAGGTCAACCACAGATTGTGACACTATGTTTCTGTGAATCATGTAAACATGTTGCAAACAGCTGCCTGGCTTCAGATAAGACCAACGCACATCTGCCTCACTTGCACCTAAAGGGCTCAGGCCACACCCCAGGTGCAGTTTTATTCATCAAAACAAAACCTGAATACCACCTCAAATAAAACAGTTTCTTTACACATTTTAGCTTAAAGTTGCAGAACATCTTTGCTTCAGGGTTTACTTAAAATCATGCTGTTTTTTTCCTTCCTCTAATTGAGCTTACTTTTGAATTTTCTATGCAGCTGGATGTGGATTAGCACTCGTTTTAAATTATTTTGTCATGTCTGTATAATCAGAATAACCTTGCTGTGCTATTTTCAGAACAGAGGTTTAAACAAGTTCTTATTATGAACCAGCATCAAGACTGACTGAGACACTCATGTATGTACTTTCAGTTTTTGTCATATCCTTTAGTAATTTTTTTTCTCTTAGCACCTATGTGAAAATGGAAAGTACTACTATCCTCATGGTACAAATGCGTCAGTAGCACAGAGGAAGTTAAAACAATTGCATTCTTGATCATATTGCTTTCAGTATTAAAAGATACCTGGATACAGTCAGATGAATCAATTAAAATATTTTAAAATTAGCATTATTGCACATCTCTTATACAGGGATTCTTATGTGTACTGTAGTATCTGTGCATACATTTAATTGAAGATGCTACTGACAACTTTACAGATAAGAAAACATTTTTAAGTATGTGAGAAGATATTAATACTCAGTGACTTTTGCCCATCTTGAAACCTTATTGAAAAATTAATTCCTTAGACATTTTGTAAATTTCAGCTCTGTTAAATAGTTGCTTGATTATTGGAATCTAATTCAGGTCCTCCTGAAACCCTTTGGAAGACATATTAGCATATGTAAGCACATAGATAAAGAAGGTTTGACTGTAAGTAACCAAATTAATAATGGAAGCCAAGGTGCTTTTATTTTTTTTGGCACTGTTTGCATAATTTCACAGCCTTCCTCTTATGTTTTAAAATAATACACAAGATAACTCTATTCATGCATAAATTTGCTACTTGTTTGCTAACGGAAATAGTATTAGACCCATTCAGGTATCAGGGGTGGGTGCTTTAAATTACTGAAGCGAATCTTCTAGTCACCACATGGGACTTTTTTTAGTCAGAGCCCTAGGTTTCTGTATGTTTCACATGATTTCTTTTGCTTTGAGACTCATTTGTGGTCACCGCTTTTCACATCAACGTGTGTGTGAACTGAGTCTCTGGATAGCTTAGCTGACGCTATTAATAAGTTTTAATGTGTTCATCTTGTCCTTTACAGACACAACTCTGTTCTTTGGTAATGAAGAATTTTACCCATTTTTAATACTGATAGATTGGGCAATTCCTTCTTTCTTGGTCTTTTTCATTTTGTAGCAATCCATATTTCTATTGCAAAGTACTCACAAAATGAAGCTTATCAAACCCATGGAGATTTTAAGTCCATTCAACTTACAGGTTGAAGTGGATTCTTCATCTTCCTTTTGCAAAAATACCTTGCTGGCCCTTACCAAAAGGTGTTAGACACTCAGGATTTTAACATTGTCTATCCTGCTCCATTATTCTGAGGCCCTCATATGCCTCAGCGCAAGCTGTCTTTGCTCTGATGCTCCTTCATTCATACATGACAGCTGTTACAGACAGCCTAGGACATTGTTTTTTTTCCTTTTTTTTTCTTTTGTCATAGTTTAAGAAATTACAAGAAACACTTGGAAAAAAATTTTTATCATGTTTCTCTTCCCTATAGCTTTTAAGGTCAGTTCCAGGCTGACTATTTTGTCACTAGTTGCAAGGTTCAGATATAGTCTTCCCGCTTGAGGCAGTGACACAAGAGCTGGTTGGTGAGCATGGTCCTCCTCCTCTCTTGTGGGGGATTATTTCCCCTTTATGTCTCTCGGTGGGTGTCGCAACTGCTAGAGTGGCATCTCTAGTTATCTTTTCCTGTTTTGATCTGCTCTAAGGAAGTTCTGCTCTGAAAACTTACTATGTAAAAATAACATTCTCTTACTCAACTCATCTATTTTCTTTTAAATTTCACCTTACCTGCTGACAGCAGTGGAAAATACTGTTTTTCTTCTTGTCTTGTTAAAGTTGCAGAGGCATAAGTGTCCATTTCAGTTAGCACATAGTGAACACCCTGTCCCAGCTCAGCACTAGACATCTGTTCCTTAAGTGTATTGTGCTTAAGTATGTGCTTAAGTACATATGTGGTCTTTATGCCTCTTTGCAAACATACATCCCTTGCAGAGCAAGGATGCACACAAACTTGTAAGGCTTTGCTCATTTGCAATCCTGAGCTACCCGTGGTTCCTACAGCTCTGGCTTGGAGTTCTTTCCAGCTTTTTATACCAAGAATGTACTGAAAACTGCTTGACACTGCCACTGCCTGTATCAGTTATTACATAGCTGCAGTCATTAAAAGTGTCTTGTTTAAACTTCTGTATTGAAAGTGTGTCAGTTTTTAGACCCCTGTTCCCACCCCTATAAGCAGGTACAATTTTCATGACTTAACTTCTTCAGCTGACATTTAAGCAGATTTCTTTACCTGTTACTTGCTGTGGACAGGGAATATATAACTGTTTAATTATTGTAGTTCACTTGACCCATAGTAGCTTGTTAAACACTCTTATCTTGGTCGTGTGTGTCTGATTTAAAGCAATGATAGAGTTCCTAAGTGTTTCTGTTGGTTCAGCTAACAGCTTGACTAGACCCTGAGCTGCATTAATTTAATTTTCAATATGTTTCTAAGATTATATTGTTTAAATTGTTACAAAAGACTATGGGTGTTCTTATTTCAAGTTAATTAGGATAACTGTGGCTGAACTTCAGTTAATTAGGAACAAGGTAATGCTAACTGAATATGTTATTCTTAGGTTGAAGTTAGATTCTATAAGAAAACATGGCCATTCCTGAACTGAGCTGATTTGTGAGAGATGAGATTGTATTGAAGCATTTATTTCCTGAATCATAAATACCTCATGTATTTAACTATGTTGCTATGAGAACAAACTGCTCTCTGGACCTTTTTCTAATGCATATTCATTACAAAGTTTTGTAAAATACTCAAAAATAGTATGTGTTCTGATTTCCAAAGTCATCTTCCCTTGGTCTCGGAGTGCCTTTGTCTGTCAGAAGTCATTAAGCTCTATCACTGTAGTACTTACATGTTATATTGTAACCGAGATTTGAACTCTGTCCTAATGGCTTTGCTCTAACCCCTTCCTAGAGCATAGGAAATGACCTCAGCCTGTCTGACACTATCTACCCTCTGCTTTATGTTGTATAATTTGTACAGTCTGTATTATTATTAGATAAACTCCATGCAACCAGTGAGTGTTGGGCATTTTTCTGTCAACCCAGAAAGAGCATTCTTCGGTTCTTGGATGCTGAAAGAGATGTCTCAGTCATCAAAAGCAGCTTCAAACCAGGAGATATAATCCATTACATACTGGACAGACGTCGCACCCTAAACATTTCTCAGGATTTGCACAGCCTTCTCCCTGAAGTTTCCCCAATGAAGAATCGCCGATTTAAAACCTGTGCAGTTGTTGGGAATTCTGGCATCCTTCTGGACAGTGGATGTGGAAAAGAGATTGATAGCCGTGACTTTGTAATAAGGTGAGTTTTCATCTGCAGTTGAAGATACAGCCTGCTATGCTTCTTGAACAAAAATGGGGAGAGATGTTTTAATCTGAGATACAGATTTCGGGCATTATCTGAAATTGATCTGAAACAGTATCCTTCACAGTGTGATTCCCTAAATTTAAATACATGCCCATATTGTTGATAAGAAGATTACTTTTACAGTGAAAATAAAACAAGGGTCATAGGAGACAGTTTTGTGCTACTTGTTTTTCCTATGTGTTGGGTTTTTTTCCAGACAAAATAAATGTTCTTACGGAGGCCTTGGTGCAATATATGCAGAATGCTTTCTCTTTCAAAAATATTCTTTCTTAGCTCTGGGCCAATACAGATGGCCTGTTGTAAATTGCTTTTATGCAATTACATATGCATATGTAATTTACTTATATGCAGAATGGGGTAAAATTTCAGTGTAATGTCAAATCAGATTGTTGCCTTTAAGGTAATTTGAAGTCAGACATTTAAATGCCTTCACACTGCTCTAAACATGTGTCCGTTCAGTTTGGGCAGAAATGTTGACATGCATCACTTCTTATTCATTCTTCAAACACGCACAACAGAATAGAAGAGGAATGGCTGGCCTTGTTTGACAGCCTGGCATTATATGGATATAGAGAAGGTTGGGCAAGAGATAGGTTCTTTTGCTTTTGAAGCAGAAGTTTCAATTCATTTGTTTTGAGAAGGGTGAAAGGGCAGAAAACAGAAGAGCAGTGACAGAAAACAATTTCTATATAGTTGTCATTACAAGTTATTTGCTTTTTATTTTCTCACCTTGAAGAAAGACGGTGGCAAAAATAATATCAAAAGTATATAGAAAAGAAAAATTAGGTTTTACTACATAAATCAAAACAGGCTGTACACATGAAAGTTGTATTTTATTTGAAAGGTATAATAGCAAGTGTCAACTGAGAGAATGACACACCACTCTTTCATTTTCCTTATTAATTTTGCTTGTACCACTAGTCTTTCAAATTAGTGTCCTTATTGGAGAAGGAATCAAAAAATAAATACACTTAAAAACAAATTTAGCCTATGGCATACTTTTGTGCTCTCTCAGAAATGAAATGTGATTCATTTAACAGGACAACAGAAAACTTTAGATACTAGATTTCCTAGATGAAAATTTTCCTTCAGAAGGCACAGTACATACTTTTACTTAAATCATGTCCTGAATGTCTTTAAAGTCATCTACATGCTCTTCCCCATGTTTTAGCTGGCTATGAAACTAGGTGATGATATCTGGTAGGAGATTTTAACTAATTCAAGCCATGTGGAGTAAAGATAATATTCTTAAAGATATGTGTATGAATAAAATAAGAATGGTGAAGCTTAACAGGAACATCAGGAAGTTACTATTGCTAATCAGTTTATTTAAAAGCATCTCTCATGTGGTGTATGTCTAGTAAAGCGATCAGTATAACAGCTAGTTAGTCTGATGATGGTGGATAATAATCTGTATAAGATTCTGGGAATAGAATATTTGACCCTGCAGCCTGTAAAGTGTTTTAATATTGTGAAATTCTTGGATTTACAAATCATAGATTATTTCATAAGTTAGACTGTATGATTTATTTCTGTATGGCTAGGTGGATGGATAGGTACGTAACAGCTGTTTAAAGTAAATAGCAATGAATTCATCTGTGTTTAGAGATAAAGGCACAACATTCTTCAGAGTTACAGTTCACTACATTCTTTTTCCATTTCAAAAAAGTTGAACGCAACATGATATGTAATCATGTGTTCTAATGGTACATTTAAATACCACTCATTTCTATTACTGTTAGGATTCTGGTATTTAAATGTACCATGAAATTCTGTTACTCTCTTTTTCAGCTGATTTCTCTACAAGTAAAATACACTCATTCTACTCACCACCTGATGGTGTTCTGAAAAGCAGTTACTGTATGTGCTGTACGCACCTAGGTGTATAGTCTGATGAATAACGTTTTTGCAGAATGTCATGATGCTGAGTGCATTATGAATATATGTTATGACAGGTATGTCATATTATTGGTTAAATATTTTATCCAGTGGATTTTGATGGTACTGTACATTCTTTTTGAGATCTGAAACAAAACCGTGTATTTTTGAGAGAGTTGTTTCTTAGAACAGCAGTTCTAATGTTAGACCAAACACCAACAATACCATTAATGATAAAATGATAGTGAAGATCTGTGAAAGTGGAGAGGACACAACAAACATCCAGCAATATTTGCATTACAGCACAATAAACTCAATATACTAAATTTTAGTGCTCCTATAATGGTGGTCTGAAGATGTTAGTAATAACTGATAAAGACACAGACCATACGCTTTATTAAGGGTAAAGAAAAATGTCAGTACCTAGTACTTTAATTAATTTAAGGTTGATAGTGTCTGTCAATGTATTTGAAAGTCATCCAAAGTTATTGATAACTGTCCGTCTTCATTTGAGACATTCCAGCATATTCAGTGTCTTCTATATAACTATGACTCTCAAAGAACATTTATCAGGCAGAGACAATAGATTATTAGAATACTTCTATTATGAAAAATATTTAAAAATAAGCACCTAAACTGGAGTCAAATAATAAGCATGCCTGCAGGCCAACATATAATTGTGTCAGCAAATTTTATGAGTAAAGTGATACAATTCTTCTTTAGACATCTCTGAAGGTGCAGAAGTAAGGGTCATTTTTGCAAGCAAGGTAATACTTTGTCAGTGTAAGCAGATTTACTGTATCTACTGAACATTTTAAAGTGGCTTGGTTTTAATTAATTTATCACATAAGGACTGACTTTGTTCTCACTACGTCATCAAGAGTCTAGGGTTTCTATGATTCTATGACATACCTTCTGCTAGGATAAAATTCATTAGTTCCACAAGTTTAGTGAAGTCATGGCTGTTTTGACAGTAGAAAATGTGACCCATATGGTTAAAATCGAAAGCAAAGAGACTCTTTGCTGTTAAAAAAACCCTGTGCTGACTATATGCTATTTCTTGTTTCCCATATTCCTTTCCTTTTTACCTCTTATGTTTTTACACTGTGTTAAGTGACTATTGATCCTTGCACCTCTACTACTTTTCATAGTAGTGGTGAGATAAAGCATACTGCGTTTTGATACTATACCAAGAAAGCATCTGAAGCATTCAAAAATCTGCAATTCCATAAAATACATTAGAATGAAAATATGAGGTGATCAACCAGATTACATTTAAAACACATAAATGGCATAGTGCTGTTGCAAGAGCTGTTTTTCATAGAATCATAGAATGGTTTGAGTTGGAAAGGACCTTAGAGATCATCTAGTTCCAACCCCCCTGCTATGGGCAGGGATACCTCCCACTAGACCAGGTTGCTCAAAGTCTAGTCCAGCTTGGCCTTGAATTCTTCCAGGGAGGGGCATCCACAACTTCTTTGGGCAACCTATTACAGTTTCTCACCACCCTCACAGTAAAGAATTTCTTCCTAATATCTAATCTAAATCTTCCCTCTTCCAAATTAAATCTATTACCCCTCATCCTGTCACTGCATGCCCTTGTAAAAAGTCCCTCCCCAGCTGTCCTCTAGAACCCCTTCAGGTACTGGAAGGCTGCTTGCTTTGACCACCAGGATGTCATGCGGGAGAGCATCAAACACTTTGTCTACCCTCTCATGCTGAAATTCTCATTGGCTGTGTTAGCTGTTACCTCTTACACAACAGATGAACTTGTTATCGTAAATGATACATTTTGAAAAGCAGTAGTTACATAGGACTTCCTCAAAAATACAACTGTATGTTGGGTAAATGTAAAATAAACATTATCAAGTTATAACTTCCAGATTCCTGGAATTACTTCTGGCATCCAATAAGTACCAAAAAAATTCCAGTTCAGCTTTGGATTCAGAATCTGAACAATGCCAAAGATCAGGAGAAATTTATTTTTTTTCTAGAATTAATGTAATTCAGCATTTATGATGGGAACTTTTCAAAATCAGAAGCCAAGTAGAGTTTTTAAGTCATATTATTAAAAACCAAATAAACAAACAAAGCCCCCCAAATCCCAAACCTAGTAAATAATGCGGTTCTTCTCCCAGTGACACTACTTCTGGAAAAGTCCCTTTCACTTCAGTTGGACTATAGGGAGAACGGGCCTGTCGAGTGAAACTGTTTGACTAGTTTAGGGCTGCTTTGACAAGGAACAGCCATGAGAGGATATTTATTGCTTCTTTCTTTGGATTGAAATGCCTAGCTTATACTTTACAACTCTTCTTTCTCCCATTGGAGTGTTCTCCTGCTAACTCTGTCAGCATCTAGGAATCAAGCTGAATATTTTTGCCATTATTGGTGATAACATTTTGCTGGGCAAATGCAGCTCTTATTTTCCGATGTCTGTTGACTTTCATTTTTTAACTTGGCACTTCTTGTAGTTGTACTTAGTGAGTTGACATGGAAAAAACTTGCAGTCCTTTAATAATTTTCTTTTTTTTTTATCCTATGCAAAGAGGAGGGTAATCTGTTTGACTTCCTGCCTGACATCTTGGCTTTGTGGGCAAGCAATTATGATATGAGCAGAAGACAGCATATCTGTTCAGGAAGAAGAAAAGGACAGACTTTCTAACTATACCATGGAGGTGTGTTCGCTCATTTCAGGAGAAAAACTTAAATTTCTCTGGTAATATTAATATGTAATCAGAGAGTGGTAGTAGCTTCTTTCTTCTGTGTTGCTGCTTCAGCTGATAGGAAAATAGGAAAAAACAATCATAAATTTGTTGGAATAAAAATATTTAGGATGTTACTGTACTTATATTCTGGAACGCTTTTTTTTTTTAACACTTTTTTTAGCTTTTATGTACAAATATTTATTTAATACTTTGTTTACCCTTGGCTGGGAGCCAACCCCACACAACCCTGAGGAGAGGGGAGAGATTTAAAGGGGTAACGGGAAAAAAGGACTCATAGGTTGAGATAAGAACAATTTAATAACTAAATTACAATAATTTTGAAAATAATAG